TTGTATTTTTTTTTCCTTTCTTGAAGTTCTTTGTGACTCTTGGAAGATAAGTGTGTTTGTCTTCCACTTGTAAATTTTCTACTGATGAATTAATGAAAGTGTTATTGATCAAAAAAATAATAATTCCATTCATGCAAAAAGAGGAGATGCCACCAACACTATCATTGGATGGATGTGGATTACGGAGGATGATAAAAGGGAGGTTGTCCTATGGATCAAGAAAGGAAAGAAATTAATGGTTCACAATGCAAATTTCAGCCAACTTTATTACATAGTATCAAAGCTAGAAATGGAGTAAAGAGGGATTGCTTTGTGGAGATCTTAATCTGATAAAATAGATAAATAGATAACAATCTCCCGTAAGGATGTGGACAAATATGTTGCACACTCCCTCCCCTTTCTTGTTTTCCCCACTTCCCCTTCCTCTTTTTTTATCAATAAAGAGAAATTTTATTAATTACAGCAACGTGGAAAAATCTCCACCAAGAAACAAATTTAAAGTATTGCCCAAAATATTTGTCGTCTAACAGTCCCTTATTTAGCCAAAGTATCTGCCATCCCACTTCCCCTTCCCCTTCTCCTCCTTTATTAAAGAAGACTCTTGTTAATTATTAAAAAATAAATATATAGCTTGTCCATACATGCAAAACTTAATTTTCAAGAGTTAAGACAAAGCAACAAACCAGTTAGGACAAAGGGATTAAAATGGAATTACAACCTTTGACACAAGTAACGCAGCAAGTTGCCTCTGATCAAATTCTTCATCTTCATACAAACTTTCACTGCACAGGAAAATATATTAATAATTAGAACTTCCATTTACTAGATAATAAAACAACACATTGATGTTAAACATCGAAATTCCATTACATACTAATACTCCCATGACTTTAAAAACAATACTTAAAAACATTATGGGTTAAAAGGCCATAAAAGCAAAAGTAACATGCTATCAATAAGCTTTCATTATTTGATATGGAGTTGGCAAGAACTTGCATAGTCAAACTGAGAGACATAAATCCAGAAAAAAAAAAAAAAAAACTCGCACAAATGCAGCAGCTATCCTCTTTCTTTTGATTGGTAAATGCAGAAAATATTTATTATCATTCAACTTTTACCCTTAAAAACAGAAATTTAATAGAATTTAAAATGGCATCTTATGCTTCTCCTGTGAAGCATAAGAGGTTACAAGTGTCTTAGAAATAGATGCTTAATATGCTTCAGAAGTTGTTCTTTGCGAAATTAGCAAAAATGAGAGAATACCAGAAGCAAGAAGAGAACAAAAAGTGCATAGTTATCTGAAAGAACATATAAGGCCATAGAACTTCAACAGAATCATCTTATCCATCTAAAAATCTGTGACCATATACCCCCTTAGCCCTAGAAGTTTCAAATTAATTGCTTCCCTACCATGGATCAAGCCAAAGCACCAAGTAGCATCATAACCAAAGTTGGAAAGGGATATTCTGTGGTGTGGCAAGGAGGGTGAGCAGAAGATTCACCAAGTAAATTGGGAATATGTGTCCTACAGTAGCAGGAGGGCTAGGTGTTAGGAGTTTGAGGAAGCTGAATTTAGCTCTGCTGGGGAGGTTTTTGGACAATTCTAATTGCTAAGAAATTTGGCCTGAACAGCAGTGTTTGGGATCCAGGCAGAAGTGCTTCCTCCTTTGGTTGCTCAGTTTGGAAGGGAATTGAGAAATCTTGCTCCAGTTTTATCTGAGGTGTGAAACTAAAGGCCAGAGATGGAAGGAGGGTGAGGTCTGGCAAGACCCTTGGTGCTGTAACAGTGCTCTGATGGATTTATTTCTCTCCCTGTTCCTGGTAGCAGAGGATAGACATGCTCTAGTTGCTGACCAGTCTGAGTGGGTTGGAAGGGAAGGTACTTGTGTCCAACTTTTAGAAGACAGCTTAATGACTGGGAGATTTCAGACTTTGCAAGGTTGCTTCAACTGCTCCAAAGCCACAAGTTGCACCAGGACCAGCAGGATGAAAGAGTGTGGAAATGGTCTAGGGATGGCAAGTTTTGGTCAACTAGTTTGTTGTGAACTCTGGTGCCCCTGCCTCTCAGGATTTCCCATGGAACATGGAAAGAAATTTGGCTTGCACAGGTCCCTACCAGGCTCAGTTTTCTGATGTGGTCAGCTGTGAATGGCAAATGCTTAATGAAGGATCAGCTAGCCAAAAGGGGAATGATCATCGTTGTCAAGGCAACACCTAGGCGACAAGGCACCCTTGGAGGCTCGCCTTGCCTAATTACCAAGCTGTTTTCTATAGCGTGTTATTAAAAAACTTTTAAATTCTTAATTGTTTGAGGATTTAATTACAAAACAGACATTTTAAACAAAAATATTCATTTTGTGTGTTTATATACTAATTTCCTTTTATTATTTTCTTATTTGTTAGGGTTTAATCAACACAAACATTGTTAAATGCCATATTGAATCCTCAAAGACTTCAAAACCTGAACCAATAAGGAAGAATTTAAAATGTTGTCCAATCAACACATTTTCTTCTTTTTCTTTACTAATTTTGTGTGTTTATATACTAATTTCTTCTTTTTGATGAGCCCACCTTCTTTTCTTCTTTTCCTATAATAGAAATAGGGGTTCAGCCCCTATATTTTTTTAATTTTCTTTTCTTTTTTTTTTCTTCTCATGAATATTTTGGAATCAGTGTTTTAAAAGGCGTGGGAGGCGTACGCCTGGAGGCGCACCTCCAGGCGAGGCACTCCCAAAACGCCCTGAGGCGTATGCCAGAGGTGCTGACACCTCTGAGGCGTATGCCAGAGGTGCTGACACCTCTGAGGCGTACGCCTCAGGTGCAAGAGGCGTACGCCTCTTGCGCTTTTCTCATGAGGCGTGCTAGAAGCGTACGCCTCTTGCACCTCATGCACATCTGATATGAAAATACAGAAAAAAAAAGGAAAGGAAAGGAAAGGAAAGGAAAGGAAAAGAAAAGAAAGGGAAAGGAAAGGAAAGRAAAGAGAAGAAAAAAAGAGAAAAGGAAAGAAAAGAAAAGTAAGGGAAGGGAAGGGAAGAAAAGATAAGGGGAAAGAAAATGGTTTGCCCCCTTTGACAAGACCCCCCCTTTGAAAAGAAAACGGTTCGCTTCGACAAGACCCCCCCTTTGAACTACTGTTATGCATCTTTATTCTTCTTAATATAAAAGATTTTTATTAAAAATAAAGAAAAAATGAGACCCCCCTTCCTTTTCATCCTCCTCATAACCCCCCTCCTCTTAAGGAAGCTTACACCTCTTGCGTTCTGAATTACGCCTCACACCTCTAGGTAGTGGAACACCTCACGTCACGCCTCCACGTTTTAAAACACTGGTTGGAATATGTTGATTTTCTATACTTTAACATGAAGTTTATATTTATGAAAATTATGGATATTTATTAAGGAAATGTGATTATGGAACCTAGGGAACTATCCTAGGATACATGTTTTTACTTAAAAAAAAAAAATCCATCACCTAGGCAACTAGGCGACAAGGTGCCCCCCTGTCCCTGGCCTCTTTAGACTGTGTATTGCGTGGCCAGGGGGCTGAGTCAACAGATCACCTATTTGTGCATTGTAAGGCTGCAACTATCTTACATAATCATTCCAGTGGCTTGTTGAATGTGTGCTGGTACCAGTCTAGGTGCTTGCATGAGCTGCTGTGAAGTCTTGGAAGGTGCTGGGACTAAACAAGAAAGGGAAGCTACTGTGGAGCACAACCCCTCATGCTTTCAACTGGGTGTTGTGGAAAGAGAGGAACAGAATAATTTTTGAAGGGAAGAGTTGTGATGTGGCTTCAGTGCTGTGGCTGGCATTGACTTCTCTCCATTCTTGGCTGTCAGCCAAGGACCTATTTAGCAAAATTCCACACCATCAGTATTTTGAATTCAATACTCTGTTTTGTTAGGCTTGCTGTTTGACTGAAAGTTGCTGGAATCTCTAGCTTTGTACTGTGGTTGGGCATTTGTTGCCTTTTCGGATTTTTGTATAGTTTCTGGCTGTGCATGATACATATATTCCAAAAAAAATGATACATATACGATACACACTTATAATCAGACAGGAAAAACCAACTCATAAATCTACAAAAATACATATACGATACACACTTATAATCAGACAGGAAAAAACAACTCATAAATCTACACACTTATAATTTTGTATAGTTTGTGATGTATTTTGTTTCTTTTCCGTCTGTTGTGCTTAATGAAGTCACAATATCTACAAAAATAAATAAATAAATCCAGCCAGACTGCAGCTAAACCATTAACATTACCAACCAACTCATAAATCTCTTCAACTATGTTTATTTGCAGTGCAAATTTCATTTGCATGGATGCAAATGCATGAGAGTGCAAATTCTCGTTCCTTTTTGCTTCAGGTTTTACTTTGCTTCTTTTGTTTTAGATGCAAATGCATCAGAGTGCAAGAGAACCCCACTTTATATGGGAAATTGCCAAACAGTTATTTCTTGGCTGAAGAACAGAGAAGGAAATCCTTGGAGGATGAGGCCATTGGTAAGACAGGCTCTATCCCAAGGGGATAACTTGAAGACCTCATTCAACTAATCAACTGGATTCCCAGAAGTGCCAATTCTTTGTGGCTGACACATTGACTAGAGTGGAAGTGTCAAAGGATCATCTAGAGTGGGGTTTCCCAAGGCCGGGTTGTAATTTGTAACTTGTTACTCCTAGTCTCTCTTTTTCTTTTTTCTTTTTGTTTAGCTTCAGCATTGTACTTGACCTCTTGTTCCTTTGGGGCTGGTCTGATGTATTTTGTGTTTTTCAAGCTTCTTAATAAATGAATTTTACTTGTTACTTATCAAAAAAAAAAACCTTGTATATACAGAGTGGACAGAGGAGGACTCATGTAGCTGAAGCCAAGGAATTGGGTTGAGACTTGGATGATGATTAATATGATCAGAAGGAGAAAACCCAGCTAATAAGGAAATGATTTGTGTGAAAGCTGTTGCACATGAGTAGCATTACTGCTAGCTAACAATTATTAACATCTTACAAGACCGAGAAAATTGGGTACCCAGAGGTCCATTGGGAGCAAAAAATGTTGACACGTATCAATTATCAAAAAAAAAAAAAAAACAATGTTGACACATATGGAAGACTCCTTAGTCATTTAGGGAAGCTCACTAAATGACCAGGTTGGCAATATAAATTGGTCTAAATCTCCTTTTTGTTTGCTTTTATCATATCGTTTCTCATTGTTGAGTCAATTCATGATGTATCGTTAACAATGACATCAAATGTATTATAAACATGAGTGTAGAACAACACCAAGTTGCATATGCATCATACAAATGCATATAGAATTATTCATGATTTGATTATATCCAAACAAAATAACATCTTGCATATGCATCATACAAATGCGAACAGTACGAACAACACAGCATATTATAAGTATACTTATTCGTGTGTAGCAAAGTTCCCTAGGCAGACAAATAGATGCTTCACTTGCTCGATTTTTCTTATTAGTAGCTTTGATGGAACACAAATAATCATGACAAATATTTACCCGTATCAGGCGTAGTTCGATGAGAAAATCAGCCTAAAGAAGTGTACAAAACCCAAAGCATACGCATCATAGAGCAAAATATAACGCAAATCAACTCAATTTCTTAATGAGCATGAAGATGCTAGCAATTAACCATATAGAATTCTTGTAACACCATCCACTAAAAGTAACTAAAGCTGAAAACTTTAAATGATTCAGACGGTGTGCATCGTACAGGACAGATATGTATTAAAAAAATCAAATGAGGAGGATTTCTGGAAACATTTTGGAGCTAACTTCACCCAAACCACCAAGCTGTGATCCGGGAGTAATCGAAACCAGAATCCTACCCCCATTTGAGTTTTCCACGAAGAATGACTATATTTTGGGCTAGGCAGCAACACAGCTCCATTCCCGTGTTCAAAATCCTAGACACCCAAGCTACGAAATCTGCAATCTCGGTGGAGCAATTGCAAGTTTGCAAGAATCTGAATCATTTAATCGGGAATGGGAAATTAGAGCATACATGATGGGAACGCTAGTGGAAATCTCGGGCCAGAAGTAGTCAACAAAGGCGTTGAGATTGGAGAGGGCGTGGAGCTTCAACAACGGGTGCTGCTCGTTCAGCATCGCCAGAAGGCCACTCGCAGAGCTTACCATCGTCGGCATGGCAGCACAACTTCGAGGTTCTTTCTCCTTCTTCCCTGTCTAGGGTTGGATGGTGAGAGCCTTTGGGAGAAGAGGAAATGGAAGGAAGAAAGTAGTAAGCTTTTTTTCTATCTTGGGTTTTCTTGGGGATTCAGCAACCTACGGGAAAGTATCAGGGATTAGCAACCCGGCTGTGAACCTTTCTGGTTTGGACCGGTCCACCCATATTTAAATTGATCTATTAATAATTTAATTTCTAATTGATTGTAAATCGATTGGATTTCGGACAATGTTTTTTACTCGGAATCGGAACCGCTTTGGCCGTCAATTTCCCAATCAGCGGGGTCGGCCTGTTACAATTTGAAAAAAAAATTAAAAAATATAACAAAAAAATGTTGTTTGGGTCAAATAGGCCGATGGCTCAACCACCCAGGCCAATCGGTCACAAACCAAGTTAATGGTCTTTATGCCAACAATTGCCTTGACAGTTTTGGAGCTGAACGATCCGACCGTCCGGTCAATAATAATTCAAAAACCATGAATTAAAAATGATAAATAGAGAAAATAAGCTTTATGAAACTTTCATCAGTTTTATTGATACAATGTGTATTTTATATATGCACTATCAAATTAGAATCTTAAAACTTGTTTTAATCGGGTCGGATTTTAAAATTGAAATCAGGTGTAGTTAACCTTCTAAATATGTAAATGTAATTGAAGTATATAAGAATGCATGGATGAGATTTGTCAAAACTCAAAAGCATAATCTAAAATGAATTCAGGCTAGTGCATCAAGAGATAGCTTATGGAGACAAGGAAGTTGATGGGTCCTATGGAAAACAAATAAGCATGTATTCGTGTTTCGGTATTAGTGGTGGGTCCCATATAAAATAATGAATTCCAATGATTCATTTACCTTGGCAAGTAATGCCTTCTTGAGACTTGGGCAAATCGTATATCCATCCACATTTAACATTCTTAATTCATAATAAGACAATATTATCCCTTCAATAATGTTTACTTTTTTTATAAAACAATCATTGTACAATTTTATATAAGTGGAAGAACATAGGTAAGTGCAGTTATCCCAGTAAGTGTTTTGCATTAAACACGTGCATAGATAAATGCATTTACCCAGGTATATGACTTATCGAGATGCAAATGAAACATGTAAGTTATATCTGGGAGGACTTTCATGTATGGTTTTCAAAATTGGATTGGATTGGAAAAATGACCGGTTCCATTTTTCCCAAAAATTGTTGATTTTGGTCAGCAAATTACTGACCCGGGCGGTTAACCGTTCGAACAATTTTGACCATCTTTTTATATTTTTTGTCAAAACGGGCCGACCGTTTGGTTCAAATGGTCAGACCATTCAACCCAGGAATCGAGCCCCTGACCAATTCATTCTCCATATCAGTTTTAAAAACCTTGCTTTCAAGTGAATAGGGATCATCTACCAACAAATGAACTTGAATATCCTTCCAATATGATCTAACACCGCACATCTCATTGTTGAGACTACGATGTTAGACATATTTTATTGCAAGGAGATTTGGACTCCTTTCGTGTAGGGGCTTCTACTTTGCAAGTGGAATTTGGATCTAGCCCTAACACAAGGTCCCAATAAATATTGCAGCCATGTATTGGGGACATCTCCCATGCCCTTCAAGACTAGATATTCCCAATGTATAGCTACAATGTTGATTAGGCTAGTTTTGGGGACCTTGTGTTGGGATCTTATCCAGACTCTACAAGTTGGCCCTACATAAACAACAAGTTGTGTTGAATGAAAATTTAGGGGTGCAACTTGGGCGGGCCCAACATGATCCAAGACTGTCCCAACTTGCAATTTTACATGAGTTAGGGCTTGGATTTTCAATCCTTGGGCTAGACCTAGGTCCAAAAGTTTGAGCTTTTTTAATTTTTAGCTTAAACATAAGGTTGTAATAGAATTGATGGTAAGCTTGATTAGTCATTGAAGCTTAAGCTCAACCAACAAAAAGTTCGACTCAAAAGCTCACGAGCTTGGTTCGATTAACACATACATACATATGTATACATTATAGAGTATAAATATATATTTTTTATGTAAAGTGTATTTTTATATTCCATGTATAAGAGTATACTATATTATAAACTATATATATATATATATATTCATTGTTGAGCTTTCAAGCCAAACTTGAGCTCATCGAATATTTAAGAATTGAGCTCAAACTAGAAAATATAGCTAGAATCAAGCTTGAGGTCAAAGTTGAACTTGGTAGTATTTTAGTGGAGTTGAGCCAAGACATTCCAAAGTTAGGCACAACTTGGCTTGATTGCACCCTACTCAAACCCAATTTGACCTTACCCAAATTTGAGCCAAGCCTAACCTAACCTAAGTACATCAAATTCCAAATTGGGATGGTCTAGTAGGAGTGCAAATTGGACAAGCCCAACCCAGGCCAATACCAACATAATCCATAATTTTACACAAACTAGGCTATGATTTTTTATACTCAGGTTAGATCTAGTCTAGAAATTTAGGCTTTTTATTTTTTAGGCTAGGCCCAAACCTAGTCCTCAAGTAGCCCAAGTCCAACCCAACTATATACATACATATAGGCATGTATACAAACACATTTGCATGCATACATGCATTGCTTTTTTTTGTAAACCATATGTAAATTCATACATGCACACATATAAAACTTAAATTTATATCAAAGTTCAATGTGAGCTAACTAATAACCCAAGCCCATCCCATGCCAAAGCTCAACCTAAGTACATCAAATTTCTATGCATGATAGACCTGAGATGGGCAATTTAGGCTGGACACAAACTCAAGCCTTAGGCCATTTCTTAGGATCGGGCCTAGGTTGAGCATAAATGTAGCCCAACACACCCGACTTGCATTCCTAGGGCCTAGGTCAATTAGATGGGAATTGATATTGGACTCATCTAGGCCCAAACCTTGAGAACAACTCTTAGGGTTGGGCTTGGGTTGAGCTTAAACCCAACCTAAACTGCCCAACTTGCACCCATATGAAAATCCAAAAAGGTCAAATAAGTTGTTGTGCAACAAAAAAAGGTGTTTTTGATGAAGTTTCTTTAGTGCCCATTTGAGAGGGCTTTTCATGCAACGATTTATGGATTTGCAAGGTGGATCACTCTCTCTCTCTCTCTCTCTCTCACACACACACACACACAATATTAGACGCAATGGGCTCCTTTTGTCATTTGGGAGGGTTTCTACATTGATCAAACTGAATTAACTAAACCACTTTGAAGAAACCACCTAATATTGCTTCACCACAAAGTCGTTTTTTTACTCATGCAAACCTATTTTTGGCTTTTCATTTTTTACCAAACATCACTTATTGGCTTTTTTGAGTATCTCATCTCATGTAATGTGAGAAGTCACTAGCATGAAAGCCCTCCCAAATGGGCACTATGTTTAGTGAAAAGCCCAGGACACCCTAATATGCTTTTGTTCAATCATGAAATTGACTTTCCAGTGAAGCTAATTTAACTAGCTTATTTAAAGCAACTTAGAGTTCAAACCCTCTCGAATGGGCTCTTAGTAACTTTTTTAAAAGAAGTTTAGTAAAAAATGCTTAATCAAATCATAGCCCTCCCAAATGGGCTTTAGTGCTCGTTTGGGAGGGCATTCCGCATAGTTGATTACTAGGGTTGCAACCTAGGCAGTCCTAATTGAATCCTAACCTAGCCCAACTTGACCTTTTATTTTTCTGCATGAATTGGGCCTGAATTTCCAGGATGTGGGCTCGACATAAACCAAAGAACTTGAGCTTGACCTAAGCCTAGGTTGGGCTTAGGTTGAAACCTTGGGTACCTTGAGTAACCCAAATCTCAACCTAACCCAATCCAAGCTCACCCATACGAATACACGCATGCATGCATTTTATTTATATTAAAACATGTTTTTTCTAATTATATATACATGTAGATATGGTAAGTAAATGAAAATTGCACATGTTTTAAATCAATTTTGCTTGTGTTTCTTGGTTCACTTGGAATAATAGAAATAATAAATGTTTTAATGGAGGTTTTAGTAATGCAGAGAATATCATTGGCAGAGCTTTTGCTTACTATAATGAAATTAAAGAAGTTTCTTCTTGCATAGGTAGCACTAACACTAAAAGTTTAAATCTTGTTAAGTGGTATAAGCCCAAGACTGATTGCATCAAAATCAACTTTGATGCTTCATGTTTGATTAAATGGCAATTGTGCCATTGGGTGTGTTGCTAGGAACCATCAAGGTTATGTCCTCGAGACCAAAGCGATTGGAATTGGTATCACGATGATCAAACTTGCGAAAGCGTGGGCTGCATGGGAGGCTATCAACATCGCGATTAACTTCAGGGACCAACAAACACCATCGAAGGAGACTCTAAACTGGTTATAAATTGTCTCAATGGTCGAGTCTCACCCCCGTGGAAATTGGCTAGTATCATTAGAGAGTGTTGAAACCTTGTTGAGTTTTTTAACTTTAATATCAAATTCAAGCATATGTATTGGGAAGCAAATCAGTTGGCTGATTGGTTAGCTCGTAAAGCTCTTAATAATCAAGAGGGTAGTAATGAGTTTAGGACATGTGATTTTAATTTTATTTGTGAAGTGGATGTAAGAGGAAGAGCTACCCCCAAGCTTGTGTAGTTCACCATTTTCCATTAAAAAAAATCAATTTTAGTCATGAATTAGGCCAATTCTTCTAAACCCGACCAATCCACCCAAGGCCCATGCCCCAAGGTTTGCACCTTTGGTGTTTCGCCTAGGTTGACCCTAAACTCGACCCTACACATATGTATTTACACCCCTACTTATTACATTTGCATCATTCCAAGAATTGTGTACACATAAGCCATTGTCACATCAACATAAGGCCTTGTTCGTTCAGTTGCCATTTCTTTTAGGGCGAAGGGAGTCGGTCAATTTTGGGACCCATGAAAAAAAAACTTTTGGAATTGGGAATTTAAGAAAACCTGGGATTTTTCAAGAAAAACATTTTGGTTTTCTTAGTGACTCGCTGCCCAATGGGGATGAAATTCTTAGGGTCCGGGGACCATGGTATGGTGTGAGAAGGTGTTAGGCACCCCACACTCGCCCGGTTAAACCGGCCTCTACTTTACC